TAAATATAAAAAAAATATATAAAATATAAAATGCTTTTTATAAGTAAACAGTAACCTCAATCTGTACACAAGATTTGGACCCATAAAATGAATGTGTACAATGCAACGTGTCCCCTGTCTGAAATGATGGCATCATTAGAGATGCTGGCCATTTCTTGCCATAAAGTCTCTCATTTTAGAATGGTGAATATGTGTCAAAGTACATTATGACCTAGCTTTTAAAATACATTATTTTAGATCTTATGGTTTCATGATTCTATGCAATTTCTAAAAATGTGCATAGAAACTAAGCCTGTGTTCCAATATAGTTTTATTGAATTTGTCACATATTGGGAAGACAAGCTAAAGGCTTTCTGTCCTTTATCTTTTGAATGATTTCAGAGTTGAACACTAGTCTCCTTAATCTGTCACTGACTTTTCTTAAACTTTAACAACTGGAGGCATTCTGGTAATTTAGTGAAACATTTGCCTTACTGCACAGACTTGTGATCATAACTGTTTAGTTTGTTTAAATGAAACTGGTATCATCTGTGTCCTCTAAAAGTTTCCAATGCGGGTTTTGAGAACACATTTAACTCCTCATGTCTTAACAGTGGTTTCCTTTTTGAAACAAACTGCTCTTCAATTATTATCCAAGCTTTTGATTTCAAAAGCTGTTTCTGATGTGAACTAAACAAATGTGTGTAATTTTCTGTGCCAGACTTTTAACTTTGTTTTCCAGTCCTGTAATATAAGATACATGGTTAGAGAAAATAATGTGTTAGGGGTTCTATTTAACCCTCTCAGAAGTTAACTTTATCCCTTTTTATTAACTCCTCTTCATGATACATGTTTGCAAACACATCTGGACCAACAGATGTAGGTTATATGCTCATTTTTAGCTTATTTCTTGTACTTTTCAGCATGCTCTATACATTCAGTCCTTAGGGATTTATTTCACTGTGTGCTATGAGGTTGATCTGCAGTAGAAAATTGAGTAAGCTTATATAATAATTTTATAGAAGATATTTGCTCAATTCTATTTCATCCATAAAAAATCTTAAATGTGAACAGTTTCAAAGAATACATAAAAATAAAATGTAAAGCCAAAAAAGTAATGTGAAAGATTAAAAAAAAAAGTTATGAAAGGCCAGGCGTGGTGGTGAACACCTATAATCAGAGGCTTGGGAGGTGGAGGCCAGAGGATCGAGGGTTCAAAGCCAGTGTCAGGAACTTAGCGAGGCCCTGAGCAACTTAGTGAGACCCTGTCTCTAAATAAAAAATTAAAAAGGGCCTGGTGATGTGGCTCAGTGGTTAAGCGTCCTTGGGTTCAATCCCTGGTATCAAAAAAAAAAAAAAAAAAAAGTCACTCAAAGCAAAAATTAATAGAATGAGATTATCTTGAAGTAGAGAATATTTAGGTTGTCTCTTCAAACCCAAGATTTTCTTTGGATTGCATTTACTTCAAAATCATCATTTCATTTGTAATAAATGTAGTTTTGCTTTAAGTTCCTTATTTTAAAAAGTAGGTTAATATTCAGCATTTTAATGACCTTCATTAAGGCCTTTAGTATTCAAGAGGAGTAAATAATTCTTTCATTGATCTATGTATATGTAAGTTATCTCATTCCTGTAATTTCAGTATTTAATCCCTTTTAAACAGATTTCAGTTAATTTTTCATTGCTAGCAAAAATGTATTAGTTGGTTATTTGTGAGTTTCAAATTTATTTAGTGTTACGTGCTCTTATTATAATAACTTTTGGGAGGTAATTTTACTTTTTCTTAAAAAATGAAATATATCTTACATAGAATAAATGGTGTTTTGACTGAAAAAACATTTTAGCCAAGTATTTAAACATTCAGCAAAAATGAAATAGTTGAGAAAGGTAAAAAGTATTTCATTGATTCTACTGCATGAGTGGGGGATATATTTTATTGTATGAAATAGGGTTAAAAGGATAAAATTTATGACATTAATTCTGAGATGATTTTTAGATAATTTAATTATCTTGGCAAGATAAGAAGTCGTGTTAGATGATAAAAGTGGATATAATATGTAGTCAGGTAGTACAAACTATTCTAACTTGATCTCCCCCCACCCTTTTGGTGCTAATTAAACATCAGGAATGGTTTGAATAGCAGTAATTTGTTTAAAACCATCCATATTGACTCCTCTGCCTGGCATTTAAAACACTCTAAAATCTTGCCACCCTAGTCAACACAAATTCCACCAGCCCCAAGTTTAGTTTGTGGCTCATAGTCATTTCTGCCTCTCTGTTATAGGCTGAATTGTGCTCCCTGCCTCCCAAATTCATGTTAATGTCCTAATCCTCAGTACTTCAAAATGTGAGTGTATTTGTGCTTGTAGAAATAATTAAGGTAAATGGAGTCATATGGGTGAGCCCTAATTCAATAACGGGTATTCTTATGTTCCTTCCTTTTATTTACATCTATTCGAACTACTTGTTATTCAACATGAAACTCAATTTAGCCACTTGAAGCTATCCCTGTCTTCTCTCCACTTCCTTCTTCTGAACTAGCAGAAAATTTACAGTCTGTAACAGATCTTAGCATTTACTATTACATAAGTAGACATAAAAATTTAATGAGTAATTATATAGGTAAAAAAGTATAAAAAACAGTGTTAGCTTGCATTGAGCACAAGTGTTTTCTATTTCTGTTGCTACTACTGGTGTTTCCAATTTTTTTCTGACTAAATCATTTTACCTCATGGAAAGGAGTTTGTACTTTTATCCTTTGGGTGATAAGGCATCATTATAAGAATTTTATGCAGTAGATACTCCTAAGACATGAACAGTAGAAATCTAAATCTGATGGTAGTCTGGCAGACTAGAAAGATAAAATTCAATGCATTAAGTCCAGTTTAAAAGAACCTCTTTTGAAAGTTCAGATGGAGCCCAGTATGGTGGTGCATGCCTATAATTCCAGCAGATCCAGGCTGAGGCAAGAGAATCGAAAGTTCAAAGCCAGCTTCATCAACTTATCGAGGGCCTAAGGAACTTAGAACCTGTCTCAACCCCCCCCCCAAAAAAAAAAAAAAAAACCAAAACACTAAAAAAGGGGTAGGGATGTAGCTCAGGGGGTTAAGTCCTCCTAGAATCAATCCCCAGTACAAAAAAAAAAAAAAAGGTTCAGATGGAGGTTTATGAGTATATAATAAAGAGAATGGTTGTAAGGATGGATTTTAGAAGATAAAATATATGGGAATTGGTTTAGTTGGGGGCATATGGAAAAGGTTTTAGGCTTGACAACTGTGTATGTAGTACTAGTCCCAGAAACACATATGTGTTTCTTAAAACAGAAAAGCAGCCTTTTACTTAGTATTATACAAATTTTATTGTATGAAAATTTTAAAACTATGAGAATGGGGAAGATTTCTAAATTACTTGGGCAATGTTGATATAAAATACCTTGTGTATATTGTTAGGCCTTCTTTATGAGACAAAGATTTAAAATTTAAAATATTTTACAACTTTTTCTTTACACTTCACCATTTATTGTATCAGTAAAATTTTCTCCATATTATTTTTAATGGTTGAGAATCATTCATTGTAGGTATGTTTCCTAATCTAGTTAATAAACAATGGAATAAAGCACACTCTTGCAATCAAATTACTACACACATCCTTATTTCCCTCATTTCCCCCCCTGGTGCTGGGCACTGAACCTAGGGCTTCACACTTGCCAGGTAAACACTCTATACCAAGTCTCATCCCCAGGCTGTCCTTATTTTCTATGATACATTTCTAGAAAAGGAATTACTGGGTCAAACATACACTCAAGACTTTTGACATATCCTGCCAAAATGTACTCTAGAAGTATCCTGCCAGTTTATACTCTCCCAAATATTGCTTCTGTGAACTTTTGTCAGTACTATCAAGATAAAATTACTTCTTAAAATAACAGTTGAAGATTAAATTAGTAACACATTTTTGTCATTCTTAAGTTTGACTTACTATTATTTTTTAGGTACTGGGGATTGAACCCAGGGGTGCTTTACCATTGAGCTACATCCCCAAACCCTTTTATTTTCTATTTTGAGAGTCTCACTAAGTTGCTTAGGCTGTCTTTGAACTTGTAATTCTGTCTTGGCTTCCCAAGACACTGTGATTATAGGCATGTACCACTGCACTGGCACTATTAAACTTTTTTTCACTCAAAGCTGAAGATTCTTATATTTTAGACAAAGAAATTCAAGTTTGGTGAAATACAAAATAAATCAGACTATTTAGAGAGACTTTCCACCCTAAATGTATTGCTAGTCTTTTGATTTGCTAGTATGCTTCACCAATTAAGCTTTGTTTTTCCTTTCTTTCTCTAATAACCTTATAGGTTTCCCAGAAAAAGATAATACATCTTCATTATCAAGGGCTGGAAACTAGGGATATCCCATTAGTTTAGCACTGTTTTTTTTCTAGCTAGTATTTTACAAATTGTCTAATTATCCCTATAGAAGTTTGTATGATAGAGAATAAATGGGAAGACAGCTACCCTTAGATACAGTGGCCGACGAAGGCCTGTCAGAGATGATGTGTGAGTAAAGACCTGAAGGAAAAGAATGAGTCAGCCACAGAGAAGACTGAAAAATTACATATCAGGCAGAAAGACAATAAATAGCAAGCGCAAAGACTCTAAAATGGAGTTATCAGTTTAGTACGAGGCCCCAATTAAGGGCTTTAATGAGATAAAAGGTTACTTTCTTTCCATATCAAAACTTGAAGGTAAGGAATTTAAGGCTAGAATAGTGTTTTTATCCATAAACTCAGAAGGATCCTGATTTCCACCAGTTTAAGGATTTGCCAATCCCTAGGGTAAGAGTACTTGCAAATGGTCTGAATTCAAATTAGAATTTCAGGCCATCTCATTCCAGGGTACAAAATACAGAAAAAGCAGCAAAGGATTGAAGGGTGTAGCAGGTGCCATTTAAGAATAATTCTTCAAGGGTGTCACATGATATATCTGCTAATATTACACTGGCCATCACTATTACTACAAGGAAGGCTGGAAAATATAGTCTTTATTCTAGGCAGTCATGTATCCATGTTTATCACTACAAAAAAAATGGAGGAAAGTTTAGAGACAACTAACATATCTCTGCTACAGACTAGAAAAAGCCTGGCACATGACAGAAATAGAGAAGCAATTAGATGGGTGAGAACTAGATAAAGTTGGAGAATAGGCAGTGGCCAGAGTATACCATCTTGAAGGTCATGGTAAGGGATTTGGGTTTTATTATGTGTGCATAGAGAAGCTATTTTAAGTTTTAAGTATGGAAGGAACATAACATAAAAATTTGAAATGATGGTTCTGGCTGGTATTATGTTTGAAGGGGGAAATTTTCATGAGAAAGCAGGGAAAAATAGGAGTAAATGATGAGTATGCGGCTATGATCCAATAAAAAATGATGGTGTCTTAGTGGCAGCACTGAAGGTGGTAAACGGCTGAATTCAGAATATAATTATAAGGCAAGTTTATGGTACTGGTTGATGAGTTGGATGTAGAATGTGAGAAATCAAACAAATTCTTAATTTTAAGCACAAACAACCTGACGAATGGTTGTGCTATTTATTGAAATCAGAGACTAAGAAAGAAGATTTAGGGGATGAGCAAGGGGATTCAGATGTTCTGTATGAGACCCATCAAATTTGGGAAGCCTGATCTTTTTATCCATTGCCATGGCAAAATTGCTATTTATAGCCACATCTTTTTAAAAATGGGAGGCATGCTGTTTTTATATACAAAGTCATTCTTCCCTTAACAAGCTATTTTTTTTTTCTCAATTCAAGTCAGTAATTTTTCTGTTAAATCTTTTCTGTAAAGATTTAACACACATGGGGGCTGGGGCTAGGGCTTAACAGTAGAGCATTTGCTAGCACGTGTGAGGCACTAGGTTCGATCCTCAGCACCACATAAAAATAAATAAAAATGTAAAACAAACATACATACATACATATGCCCAATAGTATGGACTGTTTCTCAAGTAAGAAAATCTATCAACTACTCCCCACTCCCCAAAAAAACCCTCAAACTACCAAATGGGCAAATAAAGGTGGACTTTTTGATGCAATAATTTTAAAAATGCACCATTTATTTTTTACTAAAATATCAGTCATATAAGCCCTTAACAAAGCTAGCTCATTTAATGCTGAGAACATTCTTTGAGGCAGTTATTAAAACTGATTTGGCATATGGCATAGGAGTTAAAAAATTTGTTCAACAAGGCTTTTAGTGGATTCATCCTAAACAGTGCTCTCAAAAAAGCAATAGCGTCAGGGTATTTTTTCCCTAACATTTCCATAAATTTATTATGAAAGTATCTGTTGTTCTGTCTCTTCCAACAATAATCCACATAATTAAAACTTTCAAATCAGACTTGTCTCCTTTGGAAGTGATTTTTCTAATTTTACCAATGGTTATACTATTTAAAATCTGTGCTTTTAAGTAAATATAGAGATGGTAAGGATAAGGTCCATTTCTTGGACTTAATCAAGTGGGCCTATATATAAGTCAAATTAATAGATTAAAATGGTAAATAATGGGGCTTGGGTTGTGGCTCAGCAGCAGAGGACTTCCCTAGCATGTGTGAGGTCCTGGGTTTGATCCTCAGCACCACATATAAATAAAAAAGGTATTGTGTCCACCTACAACTAAAAAAAATTATATATATATATATATATATAAAACCAAAAAGGTAAATAATATTTAATGTTACTATATACATGTAAGTATCCCACTTTTTTTTTAAAACATATTTATTTATTTATTATTTTTTTTTAGTTATTGGCAGACACAACATCTTTGTTGGTATGTGGTGCTGAGGATCGAACCCGGGCCGCACGCATGCCAGACGAGCGTGCTACCACTTGAGCCACATCCCCAGCCCCAAGTATCCCACTTTTAATCACTCCATTTCATGGCTTCAAATCACTAGTAATTACATTTTCAAATTATTAATAGCTAGATTAGGTGTTCAATAAAGCATATTCATATGTACGCGTACTCACATATATATATTATGTGTATACAGAGGCAGTCTTTTAATACACAGCCTTAAGAGAAGAGAAAGCAGAAGCAGCAGTAAGAAGAAAGGGTTGGGGGAGGATTTTTTCCTGAAATAAAAACCACAGTGAAGCAGAAAGTTTAATGAAAGGAATGATAAGAGAACATTTTCTACTGGTTACACCAACACCATTTGGAGTTAAATTTATACATCTGCTGGTATATCAAAAAACCTTGTATTCAAAAACATGATAAGGTTATCTTTGATTTCAGAATATGCTATTTTTCATGCTATTTCCTGATTTTGCCTTCAATGACAAATTTAAATTGGATTATAGTGATATTTTGGGGAGAAAATGATTTTATAAAAGAAACCACCAAGAAAAGCAGAAATTTTGTTTACTTCAAATTAACTGTGCTTTACATTAATAAACTCTATTAAATAGAGAACATTTTTTTTACATTATGAAACTACACAATTTCAAAACACATACAGAGGCTTTCTTTTTTTTTTTTTTTTAGTATTTCATTTATTTATTTTTATGTGGTGCTGAGGCTGGAACCCAGCGCCTTGCAAGTGCTAGGCAAGCGCTCTACCGCTGAGCCCCAACCGCAGCCCCTACAGAGGCTTTCTTTTAAACCCAAAATGCACAATAATTCTAAAAACTGAATTTATGGATACAAAGGAATAAAGGGAGACTACTGTATTGCAAAAAAAAAAAAAAAAAGGTTTAATTTCACTTTCAGAGACAACTACTTTTCTGGAAAGCAGATGTCACTCCCTAAAGTTTCCACTAAAGCCATCATCATTTCAAAAGGTCTTGGTGATGACCCAGATGGTTACCCAGGCTTATAAGGACAATGGGGAGTGGCAGCTAAATAAAGTGCCATAATCCTAATTGGCTTGAGTAAATTCATACACCAGTGCTTTAAAAACCAGCTCTGCATTTTTACTTTATACCACCGGTTTAAAAAAAAAAAAAAAGACGGAGGAGTGATTAGACACCAATGGTTTCGGCAGAAGACAACTCACTTCTCAGGAACTGACGGTGACGGGCTGTCGGTATCTGGAGGTGAGTGCACGAGCACCGGAGGCTGAGGGGCTGGGGAAGGAAACGGGACGGACATCAGATTTGCTCCAAGAGGTGCGAGGGCGCCGGTCTCGAAGCGGACGTGGGGGGGGCGGGGAACAGCACACAAACACAAACACAAACACGCTCAGCGTCCCCCAGGTGGGCGGACCGACGCCACCTCACCATTCCCCGCCCCTGGACCCCGCTGCCCCCCTCGGACCCAAGGCCGGAACCCAGTGCGAAGCAACCTGGCTTTAGGAGCAAGGCAGCTGCCGCAGAGGCTCCGCTCACTGTAACGGCCGCGGAGCGACAAGCCTTTCAGTCAGTAGGTAGGAGACACCGTAGAGTCTCGATGTGGGCGGTGGGGGAGTGAAGCATTTCTCCTCTTCCTCTCACAAGCGCGCGGGAAGCAGCTTACCCACCCCCAACCCTGTCGCAGCTCCCACCTTCCGCCGCCGCCGCCTTGAGGGAAGTCGGAGCGACGGGGGTCACGGCGGGGGTCAGAGGGTAAAGGTCTTGCTCCCAGCAGCCTCCGCGGTGGATACGTCGCCATCTTGGATCCGCGGGACAAGAAAATTCATGCGGTGAGTTTTTGGCAAATTTTCGGAAGTCTGGCAGCGGGGCGCGCGGCGGGGGCGGCGGATTCGGGGCCCCCGCAAGGCGGGGGAATGCCTCGGGGCCGGCCCTGTCGCACTCGGGGTCCGCGGGTAGCGTCCCGGCCCGCCGCTTCCCGTTGCTTTTGTCTCGGCTCCAATCGAGAGAGGGAGAGCGGAGCGGGCGGGGAGGGGGGGTGGCGGCGGTGGAGGGAGGGAGGGGGTGTGTATGGGGGGTGGTGGACGGGACGTAAAGCGTCGCTGTACTCGGGCCGCTGCAGCGCCGGCTCCAGATCTTAGGCCCAGTCCTGTCCGCGGGCGGCCGGGCTTTTCCCGGACTCCACTCCCCCGGGCTCCCGCCAGCGCGGAGGAGCGGCTACCGCCGCGCTGCTTCCTGGGGTGAAAAGAGAAGGTGGCAGCGCCGGCAGCCGAGGAGCCCCGGCCCGCTTTGGTCGGCTTTGCCACCTTCCCAGCAGCTGCTGGTCCCTGGTTCTTCACATTCTCTCAATTCACGCACATCATCCTCCACTTGTGTGTTTTTGTTTGTGTATGTAAGTGTAAGATGGGGGACACTGGTTAACGGGCCTCAGGAGCTTCCAGGCCCTGGGCTACCGAAGGCCGTGCATGGTGGAGGCAGGAGGAGTGCAACTGTGATGCTGCTTCTGCCACCGCACCCGGAGGTTGAAGCTTCCGTGGTGTAGTAGAGACCGAGTCCTGGCCGTCCTGGGGAGGCGGAGGAACCCGAGACGCTGTTTTTGTTTGTGAAGTTGCAAGCCCTAATGTTTTTACTTCCGCCGGGGCCTCTCCACTTTTTGCTTTTAGGTCTTAAACTTTAAAGTTTCATGGAAGAAATGAATCGCATTAAGAGAAGCCCTTCCTAATTCTTAGTTGAGGTACTGTTGTATGTCTAGAAAAAGCTTCTGATTCTTGGTAACTATGGCCCTTAGCGAAAACGAATAAGTTTTTTTTGTAAAAGCATTTTTAAAATTTGCATTTATTCTGGGCGCTGTGAGTACGCTATCGTCCCCACAAAAGTCTTACATACGGGTACCACTGACTTCGGAAGGCACCTTAACATCAACTTCCTGCTAGTCCTAGTAGGCAGCTTCACTTTTCAACATCCAAAGACCACAAGTGCACCATATTTTCTTTCATTTTCGTAAAACTCTTGGTCAGAGGATCTTACTCCTTTGTTTATTGTCTGGACAGTTCTTAATAATTAAGTACTCTGATAACGTTTTTGGCATAATAGTTGAAAGTACTGTACTGATCACATGGAAAGCCATACTTGAATTTAAATGTTAAAAGTGGAACACATTTCCTGTCATGCTTGATAGTAAGAATTTTTAGAGCTCAAGAATCATAGGTGCCATTGTCCATTTGCTTGAAATAACATAAGTGGAGATTATTAATAAAGAATGGACTGGGGGGCATAGAAATTTAAAAGTATCTATTTACATACCCAGCTCTACATTGAGTTTGTGAATACTAGGTATATTTGACAGCAGTTCTTTGCCAAATGTCAGTAAGTTGATATCTTACAATTTGGGGAGGTAACTTTATCCCAGGTTTAAAGGGCTTATTAAGAATCTCAGTAGACTGAAATGATTAAATGTACATTCAAATGCATGTCCATCTACATTCAGGTCTTGTTTCATTGAAATGTTTCTTAAATGAACTAGAAGACCGAGATCCTTAGTAAACCCTGTATATTACATTACTCTTTGGTTTGTAGTTGTTTTGTAATATTAAATCTAAAGGAAAAGAAATACAAAATAAACTGAAAAAAGAAAAAAATTCCTCTAAAATTCCTTCTACTCTATCCACTTCTTTTCTTGACTTTGCAAGACCTCACTTAATTTAAAATAGTACTTCCCCCCTTTTATCTAAAGATTTGGATTGTAGGGCTTCCTGCTAATACCTTGAGTGGAAAAATGAGGGCAAAGTGCATGTTTGAATGATTTATACCATCTTCATTTGAGAAGTACCTGATCTTAAATATAAAATAAAGAATTCCAAATGATATACCTCCCTAAAAGAACTACTTCTTTTTTTTTTTTTTTGGTTTATTATTTTGGATGTTTAATTTACTTTTTGTTTTTTCAGAGGTGCTTTATAGTTAAAACGTGAAAGTTCTCTTTATTCAAAAATTAGTAAGTACTTCAGATTTATGAGTAGATTTCATTGGGAATAGTTCCAACCCAGTACTTTTGGGTTTTGTCTCTTTAGTAGATACTGGTGTTAAAAGTACTTAAACTATGAAAAATACCACTAAAGAATTTTTCACATCCCACGAGAAGTTATAGTTTTACCTTTTTTAGAGACAAATTGGCTTTATAAAATTGTCTGATAATGCGGAAGAGTTTTAAAAAGTACTTCATATGTAAATATTGTGAGTAGACATTCATAAGCTAGTAAATGTAATTTTAGTTTACAATTTAATTTTTTGCCCTTTAAAAGAGATGTTCAGTGATAATAATACATTTTTAACTAAAGTTTTTGTTAAGATCACATATTTAAAAATAAATTCAGGATCTTATATGCTTCTTTAAATAAACATTTGAGGACAACTTAATGTGAATAGTGATACAGTCTGTGGAAAAGATACTTTTAAATATTTACAGTTTTATTTGTTACCTGGGCCCCTAGTGGACTTATTAAAACAAAGAAGCAGAAGAAGTTACCAGATAGAGCAGTTTTGGGGGCAGAGTTAATCTGAGTTCTACTGTAATGTTTGAATAGAATTACATACAGTATTTATCAAGATATCTAGTACTATGATAGGAGTCATTCTGGTCCTTGAGACAGGTGATTGTTCTTCCTTATCAAGGATGATTTCTACCTATAATATTTAAAGGAATTAAATTATGACATATACTAGATGTGTTGAAAAGAGCTTTGCTAAAATTGATGTTGTAGACAATTTGTCTTTGTAAAAAAAAAAAGTAGAAGAAAAATTAACTTTTACCTGAGCTTTATTTATTAAGCCCCTTTTCAATTTAAGTAATATATAATTTTTCTTGGTTTTCTGTTTGTCATGGTTTGATTTCTACTTTAGCTCATCACAAATCATGCTGATAAGGCATATTCATTTATATACTATTAAGACTGACCTGGAAATGAAATTCTTACTATTTTCTGACAGCTTGTTTTCTGAACTTTAGATGCAAATCTCTTGGCATGTCACTTAGGGGATATGCTGCATTATGAAATAAGAAAATGCTTTACCTTATTTCTGGCTAAGAGCTCATAGCTTATACAAGAGGAAATGCACAACAGTGAATTATGTAGGAAAAATTTTCTTTCCTGGACACTCTTTAATATTTTGTCTGTTCTTAGACTCAGGATCTAAGTTCATTTATATATAGTTAGGTATTTCATTTATATTTGCCATTTACTCTGAAATTTCCTTTTTCTTTTCATTCGTGTGTGTGTATGTGTGTGTGTGTATGTGTGTATGCATTTGTGTTGGGGGTTAACTGTCACTTCTGTTGCTTCATAAACTTATTTAAAATTCTTCTCTGATATCACTTTGTTCATGAAATTTTTCTTGAGTCCCAGAATTCTCATGCTATGTTGCATTTTATTCTTCAGACTTCCATTATCATATGTGTCACATTGTTTTGTAATTGGCTGTCTCTCCTTACCTTCCAGTGAAACATCCACTGGACTGTGAGCATCTGAGGGGTAGGGCTCTGTTTTGTTTGTATTTGAATTTCTGGTGCTTTCTATACTGCATAATACTTGGTAGGTTCTCCATAAACATGTCTTAACTGGAACTGTTTTGCCAGATTGTCTTTTGACACTTAATACTGACAGAGTGTTCATTTTCCAAGCCACAAACCAGAAGCAACAAGTTTGAAAAGATGGGGAGAAAGATGTCCTGTATTCCTTTACTGTCTTGAATCCTTTCTTATATTTGCTTAATTATCTATGATAAAATAAGTGGCTAGCTTCTTACAGAAATGTGTAGTCTGTATGGAACTAAGAAAATAATGTTAGGAATCAAGTGATTAAGGTCCTGTTTTGCTTTTGACTGTGTTTCTTGCAGTATTTTATATGGCTACAATCATTAGTTGAAGAAGATACTTTGTATTTGTATTTATAAGGTAATACATATTTACCCCTAAATGGGGAGTTCCTGTTAGATTTGGGCTTTCTGAAGTTAAGATTCTGTGCCCCTCCCCCCTTTCCTGCTAATACCTGGTCCAATACTTAGTGCAAAGTAGAAGTTCTCAGTTTGAAAACCATTGTTCTTATGAAATTGGGTGAGAAGGTTTCATGTATACTTATCAGAGATGCAAGATACAAAAAGTTCTGAAAACTGATCTTTTTTTGTTTGTTTTTTAAACATGGTAAATTTCAATTGGAATTATTTCTCTTAACTTAATTAGTATTATATTATCCCTCTTACTGTAGTTTTCTAGCAGCTTAATATAGATATGTTAGTGTGTTTGATTACAGTTGCTGCCTAGACCACTTGGAGGATGTGATGCTATATGTGATATACTTTTTTACTTTTCTTTCTAAAATCTTAAAGATTATAATTTTGAGAAATTTCTGGCCATAAGGGTTTGGATAAGAGATTGTGAGCCACCTTTTGTTTGTTTTAGAGTTGTAGATATCAAAACAGGATAAATGACTTATTTAGTTGAGATGCTAATGTTTGGCTTATAATTTTAGAAATCTTTTCTTATATATTACTTGCCTATATATTTTCCAGGGACTTTTTGAATGACAATGTTTTTTTTAAAAAGAGAATTTGATCTGGTACTCAGGCTACTAATCCTTTCTCTGCTTTTTCTGAATGGAAACTAAGTGTCTTATGGGAAACTAAATCTTCATTTAGTAACTAAAATAAGCAAGAGAAAAGTACTGTGGCCTGGCAATTTAGGTAGCAATAAATTGACTTGATTTTTGTCCAAACATATTGATACACCATTTTCCCACTTATATATTCAGAAGTAAAAACAACTCCATTGTGAGTCAGC